CCACACGTGGGCAGAACCCAATCCACCGTGGGAGAAGGGCTCTGGGCACTCACCTGCTCCCGCGGGCGTCGCTTGGGATCTGGAGAGAAAGAGGGACAGAGAAGACAACAGTCAAGTGGAGTGCTCCTGCCCTGCCCTGCGGCAAACTCTTTGGTCAGAGCCAGGGCTGGTGCTGCTGGACATGGGTCTTGCAGCTCGCCTCACGCTGCTGCTGCGGCCAGGATGGGCTCCACAGCAGGGAGCTGAGCTGGACCCACGAGGCTCCAGCGCTTTCCTCCAGGACCTGGAGGACCTGGCCCAGTTTAGGCTGCAGAAGCACAAATGTGCACTGCAGAGGACAGGGCCCACTGACCCGGGCGCAGGGAGCCATGCCCTGGGGATGTCACCAGAAGGGCTGACCCATTCTCCGCAGAGCTGCTGCTGTCCTCCCCGCTCGGCCCCTCTGGCCAAGGCATTGCCTCCCGTGCCCCAGCCCTCACCTGCATGCACCAGGCAGTAGATGCAGATGCCCACGAGGCACGTGACAATGGCAGCCGTGATGGGGATGAGCACTGAGAGCGAGGAACGCCTGCCCAACTCTGCTGAGGGAGACGAGCTTAGTGAGGCACCCTGGGATGCTGAGTGCCCTGAGCTGCCCCTGCTCCAGGACCGTCCCATGGGGATAGAGAGGAGCAAGAAGCCATCACACCAGCAGTGCTGTCAGACCCCCGACTCCCCCAAAACCAGGGACCAGGCCAGCTCCTCCGAGCACTGCAGGAGCCGCAGCTCCAGAGATCTCTGCTCTGCGCTGGCCCAGCCCAGGGCACCAGGCACTTACCACAGACCACATCTGAGGTGTTAGTCCCTTTTGTTTTCACCACCAGCCCCTTTTCCTCGCAGCTGCAGGAAATAATGAGACCATGTAACCACAGCAGCAGCCTGAGCCTGCGGAAAGTCCCTGATGGTAATGGCTGGGGCTGGGTGGGCACCAGAGCTGCGCAAGAAAGTGTCCCACACAGAGCGAGTGGCCAGGGACCCCGTGCTGCGTGACAGGGACACCAGGTACAGAGCTGGGCCCCACCCCAGGGTCTGAAACTAATGAAGATGGAAACAAGTCAGGGGACAAGGGGCAGGAGGGAGCAGATATTTGAGATCTGCCCAGTCAGGGAGACCCTGGGGCTCAGGCACTGCAGCTATCGGAGAACAGCTCAGAGATGACTCGATGACAGGCTACAAGTGGCTCCGTGCGGAGGTAATTTCTGGGCACAGATAAAAGCAAAGTGAAATCCAATGGCTGGCAGCTGAAGCAAGACTAATTCAGCCCAGAAATAAGGCTCACGTTTCTACCAGGGAGTGCAATTAACCCTCAAGCAGCTTTCTAAAGACAGGGATGACCTGCCAGACTACAGCATCCTTGAAGCCAGACTCCCCACGGACAGGGCTGGTGCCTCAGCTGATGATCACAGCAAAGGAACATATTGGGAGGGAGAGCCTGTACCGGGCATGAGGGATCCCTGTCGCCTCTCATCCCTTGCTCTCCAGCACAGACACGAACATGGATGTCCCTGGAAGGGCCAACACCCCACGCATGTGCTGAGGGACAACCACAAGCACCTGGATATCTGCCTCAAGCTCAGCCATGCCACTCTGGGCCTCGCCACCCTCAGAACTCTGCACCTCTTGCTCCTGCCCTAAACCAGCCTGGTGTTGTGTCCCCCAGAGACCATTCCAGCTGCCCAGTCCCCAAGTCCCCTACAGAGGCTGGCAGCAGAGGACATGCTCAGTGAGACTGGGCACAGCTGGCGATGGGTGAAGGGTGTGGCCAGCACTCAGACAATACCTTGTCCAGGGATGGCACGGCTCGGTTTTAGAAGAGACATTGGAGAAGGGGCCTTCTGCACAAGGCTCACAGGGGGACGACATCTGGGCCATGGCCTTGGCTGGAGAGGAGCAGAGTTGCAGGAAGGTCAGTGCGCGGGGCTGTGGGGCTCAGGTGAGCAGCACTCCCTGTGGCAACGCTGCCAGGCACAGCTCTTCCAAAGCCCTGCTGGGGGCACCTTGCTGGGAGTCCCCCTTTTCCTGCAGGACCTGAGGTTGATGCTGTCAGGGCATCAGTCCCGTTGAGAGGGAGGAGCTGGGTGGACTCACCTGCCACAAAGCCGAAGCCGCGCGGGCAGGGCTGGTTCTCCACGCAGGTCTGGCAGCTGCTGTCGGAGCAGTGCATGCCGGCCCGGCACTGGCACACCGTGTTGTGCGTCGCATTCCCTTGTGTCTTCACGACGAGGCCAACATCTGGGCAAAGGAAGTGTGGGTAAGGTAGGACGCAGGGTGGGTGAGCCTGGGGGGACACCAGCCCCTGCCACTCCCACAGGCCATGGCCAGCAGGCACAGAGAGCACTTACTGTCTTCACAGATATCGTGGGGGGCACAATGCCTCTCCTTGGTCCAGCCCTTCTGATAGTGTCCGCTCTCACAGTGGGCACAGACGGAGTCCTCTGTGCCATTGCATTCAGAGACCAGCTTTTCCCCTGCAACAGAGGCTAGTGAGGAGGGGACAGGGGGGCTTTACCCCTCTCCAGGCAGCAGCTGTGCCAGCAGGACAAGGGAGCACTGGTGGCTGTGTGTGGCAGGGCCACTGCAGCACGCTACTCAGTACCCTGATGCTGCCCCAGCAGCTGCAGGGGCCAGCTCGCCTGGTGGCTGCACACATTGCATGGGATGCTGGATGATGGGACAGCAGAGCAGGAGCAGCTGTTTGCTGCCTCCAGCACTCTAAGGAGTGGGAAACGATCTGGCAGCAAGAGCAGGAGTTGGCAAATGCCATGACGATTTGGTAGTGCCAGCGACAGCACTCTCCCTGCAAGCTGCCCGTGCCATGGGGTCCCACAGCTGCAGGAGCACAAACGCTCCCGCGAGAGCTGGGCAGATTTGGTGACGTCCATGCGGTCTACTGGGGCCACCCATGAGGTCCCCAGTCGCTCTAGGGACTTCACCAGGAAGGTGAAGCTGGCAACAGGGTGCAGGGGTTCGGTCCCACCGAGCTGGGCTTGCTCTGCTGTGGCCCAGCGGGGGGTCCTGGCACAGCCAGGCCTCGAGGTCCTCGGGAAGGGGAAAGGGGGCTGCCACCGGTGGCAGCACCTGCCCTTGTACTCGTACTGCTTATCAAAGCATCTTACAGCAGCACTAGGCTCCCAGCACTGGAAGAAACAAGACCTGTGAATCCACGTCGCTCCTCAGCGCTCCAGGCTGCCTCGCTTCAGCCGGCGGCACGCGCCCGCTAACCCATGCGCTCGCCCACGTCCGAGGCGAGGGCTTCCTCGCCCTGCTCTTCCCATGCC